GTCAACTGGCGCTCCAGCGAGTCCAAGCCCGAGTTCTTCTACAGCGAGGAGCAGCGGCTGGCGCTGGAGGCCCTGGTGGCCCGCGGCCCCGAGGCCTTCTACGAGGTGCTGAAGCGCGAGAACATCCGGGACTTCCTCTCCGAGCTGGAGCTCAGGCGCATCCTGGACACCATCGAAGTGTACGACCCGGGCTCCGAGGACCCTCGCGCCGCTGGCCAGCTGCAGGGGCCCGAGGACAGCAAAGCCGGAGACTGCAAGGAGGCCAGTGGGGCAGGTGGGGACCCCACCGAGGCCGAGCTGCTGCCCTCGCTGGAGTACTGGCCCCAGAAGTCGGACCGCTCCATCCCGCAGCTGGACCTGGGCTGGCCGAACACCATCGCCTACCGCGGTGTGACCCGGGCCAGCGTCTACATGCAGCCCCCCATCGACGGGCAGGCCCACATCAAGGAGGTGGTTCGCAAGATGATCAGTCAGGCCCAGAAGGTGAGCCAGCGCTGGGCGGGAGCCCCGGAGAAGGAGCTGGCCGGGCGGGCCCGACCCTGCCCAGCACCTTGGCTGCACACACAGGCTCACTCAGAGCCCAGCCCCGCCTTCCGGCTGCCTCCCCTCTGGCCTTCGTAGGGTTCCTCTGTGTCTGTGAGAGGGACAGTGTGCCTGGGGCCTCTGGCAGGTGGCAGTGGGCTGCCTCGTCCCAGAGGGCCTTTGTGCCTTGTTGGGGGTTGTTTCTGCACTCCCTGGACCTAGCGAGCAGGTTCCCCAGAAGGTGCTGTGAGGGGGTGGGGTGGGAAGGGAGCAGCGGGCTTTCTCTCACTGTCCCTCCGATGGCTCTGATTGACGCCTGAGAAGCCGGAGGCTCCCGCGCTCACCTTAGCTTCCTGGAGTCGCTTTGGCGGGGTGGTGGAGGCAGTCTGGGGCGGAGGAGTAGGTGTGGGGACTGAGAGGTTGCCTGACTCCACCTGAAGCTGACCTGGAGACCCAAGTTCCAACGTGCCTGTTTCCCGGCAGTGCTGGGAGACTGGCAGCGAGAGCTCACCCTCTCTGAGCCTCTTCATGAGCTAGCTCTGCAATGGCAGAGCCTTTCCCGGCTGTGACCTGGGGGTTGGCGATGGCGCGATCCTCGGGAGGGAGCAGAGTGCACCCGGCTGAGGTGGTCCGCCTGGGTAGGAGGGACCTTAAGCCTTGTCTGGACCTCCCTGGAGCGACCCCTGCTGGGCTGTGCAGCATGTGGAGCTGTTCTAGCTGACACACACATGTTCTGAGGAGGGTGCTCACCAACAGCAGAGACAGCCAAGACCACAAGCAGAACTGCCTTTCTGGGGTTTCAGAGCACATTCTGAGGGGACTGATGAAGCCTGCCTAGTGAGCTGTGTTCAGGAGGTTTCTGAAGCCAGGTCTGGGCTCAGCAGAGGGCTGAGTGGTTAGCGTGTGGGTCCTGGCTTTGGGTTGTGGGGTGAAGTATTTCTAGTGGAGTCTCACCTCTTCACTGTTCCTGGCCCAGAGTGGGGCCCAAAACCGCACAAGACCCGAACCGTGGCTTTGGGGACCGTCCTGGCTGACAGACAGGGCCCAGGGGAGCTCTTGGGCAGAGACCAGAAGTGGGTCAGGTGCTGGAGGTGGCCGTGGCTTAAGTTTCCAGAAAGGTGGAGTCCCTGTCCCCGGAGGGGCCCAGCCCGGTCGGATAGCCTATGATGGGGAGGCTGGCTCTGGGCCTGATCCCAGGCAGCTCTGGGGGTTCGGGTTTCTGGTCTGTAAAATGGAGGTAGTGAGGATAAAAGCCGTAGAGACGGAATCGGGAATCGGGAATCGGGTGACGGACTGAGGAAGCGCTGGAGGAAGAGGAGGGGACAGGGCGGAGGAAGGGGCCTTTTGGATGTTCAGGCTGAGGACCCACCCCACACCTGCGCGGGGTAGGAAGGCGCTGCTGACGGGGCTGGGGGAGCGGCAGGCGGGCTGGCTTGACGTCGTGGAACCCAGTCCCCTGGGAGGGACTGCTGGGACCTCATTACTGAGCCTGTACCCCCTTTGCAAAAAGGCCCTGGGTAGGGGCTTGCCATGCTGTGTCAGGGTTCCCCCTCCTCCATGCCTCCCCTGCATCAGGAGTAGGAAGGAGGCAGATCCCAGATCCCAGACGGCACAGGAACAGCTGGAGAGTCTAATCTCCCCCAGACAGAAAGACAGATGGCCTGGCCCAGTGATGGGGTCAGACAGAGGAGCCAGGGGCCAGGCTGAGCATGCGGGCCTCCTCCCCACGTCTCTGTGGCCAAGGCTGAGACCCAGCCACCCCCTGCAGTCCCATGGCCCCACGAAATTTCATCTGCTCCCCACAAAGGCCCACCACGATTCTCAGCATCACCCGTGGGAGGCGACAGCCTGGGAGGAAGTCCACCCCGGGCCTGGAGCCCGGTCTGTGTGGTGCAGCTGGTGCCTTCCTGCAGCCCCCACAGGTAGGCATCGCCCCCCTGCTTTCATCCGTCCTGGAGTGGGGGCTCACTGCTGAGCCCCCTACCCGCTCTCAGCACTCACAGCAGCGAGCAGCAGGAGGTCCCAGCAGGACTTATCTCAGAGGCGACAGAGGCCAAGAGCCTCATCTTTCAGATGGGGACACGGAGGCACAGGGGCACAGCCCGCAGCACCATGGGGGTGGGGAGCCGGTCCTGCTTTCCAGCCGGCGTGCCTCCCTGTCACCTCCATCCCAGGCCCCGTGGCCACAGCGGTGTGTGCATGGGCGGCTCTGATACCCACAGCCGCTGGTCTGAGGGTCAGGCACTTTATAAGTTCGTGTAGTGTTATCTGCACCATTTTTCAGATGTAGAAACTGAGGCCTGACTGGATAGTCCCTGCCAAGATCCCCTGGTTAGCTCTTGGGTGAAGGGGTGGGGAGGGACCAGGCCTGTGTTGTCCTCAGGCTCTAGGACGGGTCCCTCGCCTGTCCTGCCCTGGCCCTGGCAGGATGCAGTGACGGGCAGGGCAGGCAGGGGCAGCTCATCTAAGCTCCCAGCACCCCTCCCAACTCCCCTGCCCGGCTGCTCCCCAGGCTCGCCGGGGGCCGGGCTGTGATGCTGACGGGTGCTGACAGACGGATGCTGACAGGGCGCTTTGCCGGGCCGCCCGCCCGTCTGCCGGAGCTCTCCTATCTTATCTCTCCCCCGTGAATCACCCCTCTTCCCCGCGCCCCTGGTACCAACGCAGGGAGAACGCCCCCTCCCCACCGAACCGGACGGGGCTGCAGCGCTCCAGCTGCCTGGCTAAAACACTGGCCCCCCGCCCACCAGGCGCCTGGGCTGGGGCTGTGGCGCTGAGTCAGGGCGGCCCAGCCCACCACCTCCCCAGCCTGGCCTGTCAGCATGGCTGGCAGACCCCGGGGCAGGGAAGTGACGCAGCACACACTCAGCCCATCCTAGCTCTGCCGCCGGGAGCGGCTGTGTTCCCATCAAGGCTGACACTGGGTCCCCCCTTCCCCAAGCTGTTAGAATGGCACTCATGGGTCACAGTGCCAGGAGCCAGGAGTGCTGGCGTTAGGTCTGTGCTCGGCCTCTACCACCATGTGACTGGGCACAAGCCCCAGCTTCTCTCTGAGCCCCGTCATCCCATCTGTATAATGGGTACAGGTGTTGAAGCCTCTTAAGGGTCTCTTCAGCTCGGACACTCGCTGCCCTGTCCTTCTGGACTCCTCAGGGACAAAGACCAGTGGGTCCTGGGTCTCACTCCATTGGCTGCGTGGCCCCTGGGATGGGAGGTCATCTGCCTGCCCCTCCCCCAGCCCCCCGGGAGCCAGTGATTTATCCGGGGAAGAACCTGCCCTGGGTTCCAGCTGCATACCAGAGGCTGGGCCTGTAGCATCACGCCTGGGAGGCTGCAGCCTCTGTGAGACAGGGGTGAGGCCGGGCGGGTCAGGGCTGGGGCTGGGGAGGGCCTGCCTTGGCCAGAAAGGAGTGAAGATGTGTTAGAGAGTTGTTTTCCCAGGAGACGCTGAGCCCCCCGCCCCCTCCCCAACACACGATCCCTTCACCAGCGCCCCAGGGTGGGGGTGAATCACGTGCGGGTGAGGAGACTGAGGGAGAGCGAGGCTGGACCAGACAGCTGGAGCTCACGCCTGCCAGGCTAGGGCCAGGCCCAGAGACACTGGGTTTCTTGCCCAGGGCCACACAGCAGGAAGCGACTGAAACCAGGTTCCGTGCTGCCCAACTAAGCCCACGTCTTTTCTGTCAGGCCCTGCCTTCCCACGCCGAAGTCCTGGCTCACGGCTTGGCTCCAGCAGGATAAAAGAGCTTAATGAGGCATTTATTAAATGCCAGCTGTACACAGGTGCTGAGCGGGCACTTTACCTGCACTGGAATTGTCCCAGCTCCACCGCATAGGTCCCCCCTCCTTGCCCTCGGGGGCTCGCAGAGGACACGGAGCGCCCCCCGGAGGAGATGGCTTGGGCTCCGAGCCCCCCTTCTCGGCAAAAGCAGCGTCTTGGCTGTTCTTTCTGACCTGCCCCTTGTGGGAGGCGCAGAGCCTCACCACCGGCTCCCAGCTTGACTCAGGGCAGTAAAAGCATTTTCACGAGGCTCCCAGACTCTGGACTCTGGCAGGGGCAGAAGTCTGACCACACCAAGGCCTGCAGAGAACAGGGAGCTGGGAAGCCAAGGGGCCCTTGCTGTCCCCAAGCGAGGCAGGACCAGCTCAGCCTCAGGACCAAGAGGGGCGCCGGGGTGGCCCAGGCGGCTGCTCCCGAGGCAGCACCGGTCCAGGCTCATGCCGTGGGTCTGGGGAGTTGCCTCCCTCCTGCTCTGGCAATTCCCAGCCCAGGGCCCCACCTGCCGGGTGGGGAACCATCTGATATCGTAATCCCAGGTGTCAGCTCCCATCTTCTGCAGAGGCTTCCTACCCAGCGGCATTTGCGTCTTAATTGAGTTTGGGGAGAGTCAGAAGCAGCTGTGCCAGGGTGGAGGGCTGGCACCTCTGGGCCAGCTGCACGCCAGGCTTCTGGAGCGCCCCACAGCAGCCGGCACTGCCCTCCCTCCCACGACCCCGGGCTCTATCATCATGGTCTTGTCATTCTAGAAGATACTGAGGCTCAGAGTGGTCACGGCCTGTCTGCTGAAGGTCACACCAGGGTCTTTGGGTGGCAGGCCAGGACTGAGATCCTGGTCTCCCTGGTCCAGCAGGCTTGCCCTGCAGCTGGGGGTCCCCCCCGTGGGCCACCAGAGGGGGGGCTGGTCCTCTCTGAGGTCCCCGGCCCACCCGCCCAGCTCACCACCCCTTTGCTGCATGACCTGGGGCCTGTTTCTTCATTTGTAAAAGGGGAATGGGCACTTGTCTGAAGGCAGTAACAGTTGTGAGGATGCTCCGTTGGGGAGCTGGACAGCCTCCGGTGGGACCATGCCCTATGTTTGGGCAGGCCCTGGCTGCTGGGCCGCACCAGCCTCCTTCCTGAGCTCCGAGTGACCTCCTGCATCGCCAAGCACCTCCCAGAGTAAATGCCACGTGGGGCGTTG